AAAAGAATTGAGATGGAAATTGACTGATCACATACAAGAAGAAGTGATGGCAGGTGGACCAAGGCAGTCATAGAATGGATTCAACTTAATAAAAAATGTTCACAAAAGAGTCCTAAAACAAGATGGATCAACAACATTAGCAAGTATTGTGGGCCCAATTGGCAAACGAAATCTCAGGACCATATTCGTTGGACGTATGTGGAAGAGTCATTCATTCTGCAGTGGATTGTCAATGGCTAAAATGATTGTATATAAATATAAAGAAAGGCATATCTGGTTAATTATAATGTTGTTTTTCTAAAATGCCAGTTTCAAAAAGAAGATTAGCGGAAAAATATTTTTTTTATTAAGAAGTTCCAATATATAAAAATTTGCTACAAATGACAGTAGGAGAAAAGAAGAGTGCAATGCACTGGCAGTATTCTTGCATAATTTCTTATTGTATTAAATTTTCTTAACATTATTTATTTATTGATTATTGATATTTTTCTCACCTCATTTCTTATATAGTGTTATATATTTGGAAATATTTTTTTTGTTAAAATTTATTCCACTTGTGATTTGGGCAAAGTAATCAGTTGCATCTTCTAGAAATTGAATCTAGCATTTAGCTTATTTCTGAGCAAGGCCCATCTTGTCTCTTGTAATCTCTTGTGTCTGCCAAGGGATTCATGGTGCCTTTTATTTTAGGTGAGCTTTTCTTAACATTACATATCTATAGCACATGTTCCAATTTCAACCTTTTCCACTTCCAGAATCCCAATGTTGTTTGCATCCAATGTAATGTAAAGCTGATATATTTCAATTTGGGGAACAGTAAGAAAGATATATATTTCAATATACTCATATCTTATTTATGTAGGCTATTTTCCCAGGGAAGTTGGGACTCCAAAGATAAATGTTAGGTAAATGTAAATACATTAAATAAATCTGCTTGTATCATGCCAGAATGAATTGAATAGTTTTATAGCAATTGCTACCTATAATGCTCCATATGATATCACTGTGATATATTACTAATGCTGTAACATGTGTTTATATGGAAATATCAGCCAGTCATAAATGTGCCATCATATAAATGTAACAATCGATAAATTGCTCTCGTCTAATTGTACAATGATTATAAAAGGTAGGCAAATATGTATCAGTCAAAGTGATGGTGTGGTTAATACCACTGTATATCAGAAATAGAACTAGGGAATGAAAAAAGTAATTAATTTTTTTCTAATATACAAATATTAAAAAAGAATATAAAATTAGAAAAAAACTTGGATAAAACACCTCTTTCCCAATATATAGAATAACACTGAAAGGGAACTTGGTTGTCTTCTAGTCAATTCCCTGTTCAGGCAGGAAACCCTATACCATTTCAGACAATTGGTTGTCCAATGTCTTCTTAAAAGTGTTGCAGCATTCACAACTTCTGGAGGCAAGTTGTTCCATTGATTAATTGTTCTAACTGTCAAGAAATTTATTCTTAGTTCTAGGTTGCTTCCCTCCTTGATTATATAGTAACATATAATAACACAAAATTCTTATTGGGGAAAAAGCATTCCAGCACTGGTGATTCCTCCCTGATCCATCCTTAAGTATTGCAGCTAGATTATTTTTTTTTTCATGTTTGCACTAGGAGAGCTACTCTTTATTGGGGACAAGTGGCTCAAAAAGATGAAAGTCTTAAAAAACACTCCTTCTTGTCATATCAGTCCTTGATTGTACAGCAAGAATCTAACTTCATATTTAAGATGATAGGCACAAATCTGAAAATTACTATAATCATTGTTGTCATCTCAAAAGTGCTTTTTTCAAAAGGCAACTAGACTGTTTTTTTTTCCTTGAGGAAGAAGAACAGTTGTTATGGTGGTGGTGGGAATAAAGATAGGCACTAACCAGGGGTGGGTTCCAGCTGCTGCTACTGCCGGTTTGCTCAGGGACACGCTTTGTGCATGCGCAGACTTGATGCGCACTATGCACACATGCTCAGTACTAAAAAATGCTGCTGCACATGCGCAGAAGCAAAAAACAAGATGCTGCTGCCAAGAGAACTGGTTCAGGGGTGTGGCAGGTTAAGTTACTACCTACTTGGCCGAACCGGTCCAAACTGGTAGGAACCCACCTCTGGTACTAATAGTTGAGATGGGGGGGGATGGAAGAATTGTATTTATTTGCAATCATCTGGTCCATTAGCACTCTCTGTGAGAGGTCTTGTGGTCACTTGCAGGGTTTATCTTTGCCCTCAGGGTGCAATTGGGTATGGAATCTTCTTCTTGGCACCGTTGCAAGAGCTGTGTTGTAGACTGGAGATAGGTGTCTTATCCCTCTCCCTCTGTTGAGAGAGGGCTGCTCAATGTTAACACAAATGGCCTCTTTTACTCCTCTTTCAAACCAAAATGTGGACTTTGCTGACTTCAAAAGAGTGACCATTGTCTTGCAAATGCAGATGGACAGCTGAATCTTGTCCTGATGGCTTTGAACTCCTATGTTGTGCCCTACTCTTGTGAAGTGGTTGTTTTGTTTCACCAATGTACAGATCTGCACATATCTCACTGCATTGTATTGCACATATGACATTGCTCAGTTTTTGTATGTATGTTTTATCCTTAGAGTGGAGAAGCTTATATCTTAGTGTATTCTTGGATTTAAAGTATACATTTATGTTGTGTTGGTTGAAAATTCTCCTGAGCTTTTCAAATATTCCTGCAATGTTTGGAATGACAATGTTGTCACATTTGTTGTTCTCTTCTTTGTCTGTAATGGATGAATGCCTGCTGGATCTTTTTCTGGATTTGATGAATGCCCAGTTAGGATAACCACAAGTCCTGAGGGATTCCTTGACATGTTTTAATTACTCCTCCCCACCTTATTTATTGGTAGGCAAACTTTCAGTCCAGTGGTGTAGGGTTCTGATCACTCCCATTTTGTGCTCTGGTAAGTGGTGAGAATCAAAATGTAAATACTGGTTTGTGTTTGAGAGTTTTCTGTAAACTTCAGTGTTAAGGCTTCTCTCTTCTTTAATGTGCACTGCACAGTCCAGAAAATCCATCTTTAACATCTTTCCATGTGAACTTTCCAGTTGATAAAGGAAGATGTATGGTTATCCTATACACAGATGACTACAATGCCAAGATGGTCACTTTTCTGAAGGGCACTACTATGTATGCTCCTGAATTTTAGAAATGTAATTTGGTCAGACCACAGAACAGTGTTTCTCAACATCAGTAACTTGAAAATGTATTGAGTTTAACTCCTAGAATTCCCAGCCTGCATGAATTGAAGTCCACACATTTTCAAGCTGCCAAGGTTGAGAAATACTACTGAGGCTATACAAAAATTTGAGTACATATGGTATGTTCTCAGAAGTTAAGGATTTCAACTGAAATGAATAGATATTATAGCCAAACAGTGGCTTCTTTTCCAGTATATGATTCTTGTATTTTAGAATAAAAAATCATTAAGACTCTCTCAGATTAAGCTTGACTCCAGGTGATGATATGAATATATTCATAGATTTTTATTTGCAACAGTATAAAAGTTGTTTGTCATTGCCATCTTATAGAAGAAACACAAATACATGATTGTATTTTAGTGTGCACTTACTTTGAAATATGCTAAAACCAGATCAGTGGGATTTAAAAAAAGACCATTTACTAAGATGGAAATACCGATTCATTAAAATAACAGGTAAAACTTTTATATTACAAAATAATCTGTTTACAAAGTAAAGATTTACATCAGCTGAAAACACCAGTACTTATATGATAATAAAACAGTAAAAGGCATTGCTGTTTGTGTTCTCCTACCCTATCCTTTCACTGAAACAATATTATAAATGCTTACCCCAGAATTAATGTTTATTCTTTTAAGGAACTTTTTAGTAAATATGCTAAGGATTGCAGTTTTAATTCTTTTAACACAGTGTTTTTCAGCCTTAGCAACTTAAAAATATGTGGATTTTAGCCCCAGAATTCCCTAGCATGCTGACTGAAGAATTCTAGGAGTTGGAGTCCACATATCTTAAAGTCAACAAAGTTGAGAAACACTCTTTCTACAGTAGCAAAATAAATCCTCAAATATATATTTTAACTATTAGGGGCCAGTGTTATACCACTTTATTATCTATTATTCAGAATGTGTAGGTATTGACATGTATGTTACTAGGTCAGTCAAAGTTATTTTTAGAATATTTTTCAACTGCACTGGATGGAATGCTTATTAAAGCTTACTAAGTGGAATAAAGCATTTTATTGGGAATAAATGGAATGCTTATTAAATAAATAAAGTATTTTTATTGGGATAGAATTCTTCAGCATCTATGCTGATTGTTACAATTATTAACCCTTCTCTGAACATTCATAATTTGAGTAGGAGAAGTGATTTTCTGATACATAAAACAAGTTTCTGTTTCTTATTTACATTTCTTATTTACTTTTCTACAAGTTATATTATATAGCCAATGTGTTATCTTATTCATGATTATTCATGAATTCAGTGCATGAATAAAATTTGGCGTATAGTTGCTTATTGATTTTATTGCCTATTTCAGGATTGAAACTCTTGATGTCAGGATTTTAATTTTTAATCCATAATTTCATGATCAGGTTAAGAGTTGTTAATCCTAAAATGATTGCTGATTCAAAATATTGATATGCCTATGATCTTTATACTCTTTCCAAAGCTTACACAATATTGAAAAGTCAGTGTACTAAATTGCTTAAAATAAAACACCAAAACTCAGGAAATTCAATTCAAGACTACCCTTAGCCATGAACAGTTGCTATCTCTCAGTGAGTTCAATAATTTTAACTTAATTATATTTCAGACTCAGATCACAAACTCTTGGAACTGTAGCAATTTCTATGTGCTGTAAGATGACCCACTCTTCTTTTTGGCTATTTTTTTGACTAGACAGATAGATTACTTTCACAAGTGTATGGAATAGTGTGTTCTGATATCCTTGTTTATATTTCATAAATACTGAGAAAATGTTTTTAAATTTTCAGCAAGTTGTGGCAGCAATAACTGCAGGAGTCAATCCTAAAGGAAATATGCCAAGTCAAGTCAGTCACTGGGATTTGGGAAGTTCCTTCTTCTTTGCGGGGACTGTTATTACCACCATAGGTAGGACACACTTTATTATTCTGTTTGAACATTGATGACCCAAATTAAATTTAGCTAAAGTATATGTTTATATATTCTTATTTGGGAACTTTGTCTCTTTTAAATGTCCTATTTTTAAGGAAATGTTGGTTAGATCTGGTTCATATTTACAAACTAAGTATAAATAATCAAAAACTTCAAGTGCAAGAGTTTAATTATTTTTAGTTTAGATTTTTCTTAATGGAACCCTTGGCTTTTACTTTGGTTTGGTTTGTTTAGCAATGACTGCCTTAATTTCATACCTTATTGTCATATATTTTAATTGAGGACATTGCAAAGTTAATCTAGTTGGAAAAATTCTTTAAATGTTAAACATGTAAATGTAATGAGCTTCGATATAAATACAAATCAACTGGTATTTTATTAGGTATTGGGTGATTTGCATAGTTTATGAACAGCATTCTTACTACTATATGGTACATATATTTTTAATACAAGAACTATATGGATAGCTGCACCATACTAAACTGAATTCTATAAATGCATTACATTGCTTAAATATGTTACTGTTTGACATCATCATTTACTTTTCTCTCAGACATAAACTTACTTAATGAGAGACAGGTGATAAGGGGTGGTGGTGATACATTCCCATCCCATGTTTGTTGCTATGAGAGTGTGTTCCACACATCATCTTTAGTCAGAGTAGAAGGGCTAAGAAGATCCTCCTCCTCTTTCTCCAATCTAAGATTATCTGAGAAAGGAAATGTGAGATTGGACCAATCATACCTCCAATTCTCATCCCATTTTGCCTTCTAGAGGTCTTTGGATTGAGCAGCAAAATAAGAGCTGCAGTGGATGTTATAGATACATAAATTAGTGTCTATGTGACAAACTATCATATTGTGGAAGTATATGGAATAGTGGATAAAAAGAGGTATTCTGTTAACTGTGTGAAAACGTGCAAATATACTGTTGAAATTTTATCATATTATCTTGTTGCTTAGGGAGATTTCAGCATGTTTTAATTGCTTTGTAATAAGCCTGTAAGACAGCCTTTCACAGCCTGTGCACCTCAGATATCTTTTGTTACAACTGCTACAATTGTGACAAAATTGAACGACATTAGTTTGAGAAAAGTGCCATAGACAGTTTAAATTTGATTGAGAAGTTCATAAGATTAAGAATGCCCTTCGTTATTTTCTTTTTTAAAAAAAGTTTTTTTTAATTTTAATTGAACAAAAACACACAAAAAAAGAATTATCCTTCATTACATCTTGTAGAAAGCGTGTCAATTAGCTACAGATAACTTTCGTGCATTTCTTCCACAGTCTTTATTTATGGTTCATATTAGATTATACACTTTAAATCAAAAATCTTTGTATATCTTACTATCAATGTACCACAATTTTCATTTGACTACAATTATTTGAACATGCTTTTACCTCAAATCATTCATACTTAAAGACACAACCACATAATGGCATTCATTAGCTATTTCATAAAATCCTCCAATAACATTACACCTTCATGACATCTTCTAGGTAAAAGTCAATTAATAAAGTTTCTGAACCTTCCCCCCCATTTTCCCCCACAATTTGCTGTTTAGGATTTGTATCCAAATTGCTTTTGCCAATACCAGAGCATGTATGTATTATTAAACAATATCCATTTACATTTCCTTGTTGTTATTATAATTGGCTAAAAATCATTTACTATTTATATCCCATCTCCTCTCGTCAGATCCAGAAGAAAAAAAAGAACCTTATGCCTTTATGACAAGATTTAAATAAAAATTTGTTAATAAAATTTATAGATTTTTCCCAGATCGCAATTTGTAATTTAAATCAAAATTTCTTTTACTAGTTTGCCATTACATGTATATATCATTAAGCTGTATCTATTATCATTTCATTATTGTTATTATAGTTAATTATTTGTTAATGGATATGCATTTAATAACTATCTAAAACAATCTAAGAATTACTACATTCCTACTTATTGATCACCAAAACCAACTATTTTTTATTATTAACTTTCATTTTCAACCTGTATCTTTCCAGTAACAAAACAATCTTATCTCTCTTGCCAATTGTGGTGTCAGTCTTCTTTTTATCTCCTTTATAAGGATTTTATAAACTTATCACTGCACTTTGTTGCTTGAAGGATCTCTCAGGTAATCTCGTTGCCCTCCAGCTGTTACTAAAATTAGTTTGTCTTTGGTTGTCAATCATGCTTCTGAAAGAATTTCTTTTCTTGAACCATCATCATTACCATTTCTTTTTCTTCTGTATCTTGGAATCTGGGGGGTAGGGCTCCAGTTCATAGAATTCCCCTTTCCATATTCCCTTCTTTCCACTTTCACCCACATTTGCTCCATTAATAAATTCATCTATTGTCTTGTCTTTATTTTCTATGTCTTCATTTTCCCCTTTAATTTTTTGGGGCTCCAGCCACTTCATCTTTTGCTGTGAGGAAGACTAGTCTTTCCAACTTCTTCTCAATTCTCCCATATCCTTCCAATAGATTTTGAATTCCAGCCAAGATATTTTGGAATTTTAATGTTTCCTCATCTGAATATTGATCCATGTTTTCCAAAAAAGAAGGACAGAAAAAACACTAATAGCCACTGCCACTCTAGCCTTCCAGGCCTCTTTTATTTTTTTTTATTTTAAGTTGACTTGAACACAAGATCTTTTATGTTTTTCAAAGGAGAAGGGTTTTTCCCCCCTTTCTCTCCCCTGCCAAAAATGTTCTCAAAGGCACCTGTGAAAACAATTCATGCCCTTGGCTTTTTATCAGTTTCTGTAAACAAATTGCAAACCCTTCAGTTGCAAAGTCAGTGAGCTCAAAGAAGGAAAGATAAGAGATACATTGTTTCAAAAACTCCAGCCTCTGACCTCCGAGTGGCAGTGTTGCTACTTTTCACTTTCTAATATTTATCTCTGGTTTATAGGAAACAAAGTTCTTCAAATTTCTTTAATGGAATTTAATAACAAGTAAAATGAAGAATTGTTAAAATAAAAAGGAAGGTTTTCATCCAAAAGTCAAAAAATAAAGCAACAAAAGGCAGAAGAAGAAAAATCAATCCATTCATTTTAAGAGAAGAGAGGATAAATGTGAGCCCTTCAATCCACAAAGTATAATTACAAAGAAAAAAACTTTTCCAAAGCAATCCGGTGTGAGTTGAATTCGCAGCTTAATTCTTTTGCTTAAGTATCTAATTTGGCTTTAAAAAAAGTTTCTTTGGGCAGTCTTTCCCAAAATAGAAAAAATACCTCACTAAATGGACTCACTTTCTCTTTTCACTTCCTTCCTTCTGGAGCCATCCTGACTTCATCAGCCTTGGGGTTGCCTGTTGGGTCTATCAGGGACTTTGCAATGTCCCTGAGACCATCAAGGCTTCGTCTTCCTGATCACTGTCTCTGCGGGATAGTTTAGGTTGCAATGGACCATCCAGGGGCAAAAGTATCAACGGCATCTTGGAGTGTTGGGACCGAATGTTGTGACCTCGTGACGTTGGCTCCTCCTTCCACCCTAATCTTCCTTTCTCCAAGAAATGAGTCTCAATTTCTTTAATAAACAAACATTTTTAACCAGCCCACCAAAAAAAAGAAAAGAAATGTATGTAAGCCAACTATTGTAAAGATGAACTGGGAGAATTTTCATTATAAATAACACTGATTTCCCCCCTCTATACTAATTCATTTCTGAACCGGAATGAATATTTCCTTAACCAAAGCGATGTATCAAAATGATTTTAAAAACAACCATCCAACAAAACAAACAATATTTCATATTGTTTGAAATATGAAAACAAAGAGTTTAACTTAACTTGTCAGAGAATTTTAAAACTGTACATTGATGTTGTTTTAGAGTGCTACCATTGATGACTGGCATTTACTACTGGCATTTGATTTTGACTGTGCAGTTCTATGAATTCAGTCATTCTACTATTTTCCATAGAATTATTTTTGAAGGTTATATTTTCCTCAGCCTACAATATATGCAGTATTATTAAATTATGTGGCCCATCTCATCACAAGGCAACTCTGGGCAGCTTACAACATTAAAAGAGATGCAATCATAGTCCTAGGACTACAAAATTATGATTTAAAGATGACAAAATTATGATTAAAATGGGAGGGAAGGAAGCAAGATGTGCAGGGGGTGAGGTGGGATCTATTAGTCCATCAACTATCTCCAAGAACATCCCCTCCGTGGCACCCCAGGCCAACTGGCAGAGGCTCTTGCGGAAGGTCAGAAGGGTGGGAGCCAATCCTACCTCAGTGGGCAAGATGTTCCAAAGGGCCTGGGTCAGGGCAGTATTGTATATATATAGAAGATTGCCCCCTTACATGTTTTTTTTAACTGAATTGCAATTGCTATCGTCAGATGACTGCTTAAGGTCTCTGTATTTTTAATACTATACACCAGTGTTTCTCAGCTTTAGCAATTTTAAGATCTGTGGCCTTGAACTCTCAAAATTCCCCAGCCAGGTGTCGAAGTTTACACACCTTAAAATTGCCAGGGTTAAGAATCACAGTTTTATATATGTCAAAAATGCAGATCAGTCTGACTAACATGGTAAAGATAGAAAATCTTTCTTTCGGAAACAATATGTTGCTATTTTATTTCCACATGATTTGTCCTATTCATTGTCTAATAAGTATTTTCTGTGAACAAAAGTAACATATAAGATGCGTACATGTCTGGCCATAGTATTTTTCAGATTGCTGTTCCATGTACCTGCAGCTATAGAAATTGCTGTATAAAAAAGAAATGTATATGTATATGGCAGGGTAATGGGGTGAGGGAGTCATATTGAATTCTAAGCTATAAGGGAGCAGAATGTCAGATAAAATGTCATGAGAAATGTTGTTATTTCACTTAAACAATATTGACAGTCATTTAAAAATAATTGTTGTATTATATTCCCCTTCATGGAATCCTCTATGTATAATTTACTCATTTCACAAGACCTTGTGGTTCTGCTGGGTGTGCATGATGGAGTTCCTGAT